ATCAGCAAATTGTTAATCTCTGTCTCCAACACTTCCAGTGCTCACTCCATGTACCAAAGCCATCCAGATTGAAAGTTAGCACTGGCCTCCTAATTGTTGCTTCCTGTCTATACATACCCCTCCTCAGAAGATCCTTTTAAACTGTGAATCAAATCACATCTGCCCTATTTTAAACCCTCTACTCATTCAAATCCTTCAAGCAGCCTCCAAAGCCCTTCACAACATGCTCCTCTTCATCTCTTTAACTCTTTTCTCACTACTATTGTCCTAGTTTTACCTCCTTCCGCAATACTGGCTTCCTTCTATTTCTCCAACATACTGGTTCCTATCCCGCCTCAGAAATGTATCTCCCGAGATAGAGATAGATTTCTAAAGGTCATTCTCTCACCATTGGTGAGACGTTAATTAAAGCTTGCCTTCCAGCGCACCCTTCCATGACTATCTATGGTAAATGAGTTGTGAAAATGTTTCTCATTGTTTATCCCTCTTTGTATCTTTGCTGATCATAACACTTTAAAAATTATGTGTTTTATATTTACTGATGCATTTGTGGGAGCAAGATTTTAATTGTATGTTTTTCATCGAATATATTAAGGAGTTCTGCAGGTTTTGATATATTTTGACATGGCATAGATATTACTTTCTTATAATGAACATATCCATCTTCTCAAATACTGACCCTTTTATGTGTGGTTGAAGACCACTGCAAATTTGCTCTTTTAGTAAAAATATCAAATCAATAAATTTTATTAACATCAACAATATGTTATACTCCTCATTTTGTACACTAAATCTCTAGATTCATTCATCCCATATTATCTGCAACTTCATGTACCTACACATACATGTCCCCATTACCCATTCTCCTTATTCCCCCACCTGTGATTTTAAGACTAAATAATATTCTATTATATATGTAAATATGTATATGAATACATAGAGAAAGAGATCACATCTTCTTTATTCATTCATCTACCTATGGACACTCTATTTCTATATTTTACCTATGAATGTCAAAGTGCTATTGTCTTTATGAACTGGTAATTTCATTTCCTTTGGTTATATACCCAGAAAAGGAATTGTTGGGTCATCTGAAAGTTCTATTTTTCATTTCCATAAGAAGGTCCATAATGTCTACTGTGATGGCCACACCAAGCTACCCTCCCAACAAAAGTGTTTAAGACGTTTTTTCTTTTCTCCACTCCTTCACCAACACTTGTTACCTATTACCTTTTTTATGGAATCTGCCATGAAAAAGGTCAGGTGGTATCTCATAGTGGTTTTGATTTTAATTTCTCTGCTGATTAATGATGTTGGCCACTTTTTCACATACATGAGGGTCATTCATATACTTTCTCTGGAGACATGTTTATTCAGGTCATTTGTCCATTTGTTTTTACTCAGATTATTCATTTTCCTGCTCTTAAGTTAAGTGAGTTCCTCCATTTTTGGATATTAACCATTTATGACATATATGACTTGCAATTATTTTCTCCCGAACTTTAGGTTGTTTCTTAATTGTGTTGATTATTGCCAGTGCTGTGCATAATATTTTTGTTTGCTGGAATCACATGTATTTATTTTTGCTTTTAGTGTGATATTCAAAACATCATTGACAAGACTAATGTAAAGGGAATTCTCCCTATGTTTTCTTTTAAAATTTATGTTTCCTGGTCTCACACTTAAGAATTTTCTCCATATTTTGTATGGCATAACACACAGGTCCAATATCATTTTTTGATGTGGAAATTCACTTTTCACAGCACAATTTGTTGAAGACTTAACCCTTATCTATTGCATTTTCCTAGTGCCATTTTCAAAAATTAGTAGACCATTAATGTGTGTCTATGCACTATTTGTATGTCAGTGTCATGCTATTTTGATTACTACATCTTTGTAATGTAATTTAGATCAAGTATTGTGATGCCTTCAGTTTTGATTCTGTTTTTCAATATTGTTTTGACCCTTCAAAGTCTTCTGTGGTTCCAGGTGAATTTTAGAATTACCTTTTCCAGTTGTTGAATAATAAGGGGAAGGAGAGGAAGGGTAAGGAAAACTAAGAAAGGGCATTAGATTAATTAAAGTACAATATATTCACAGATGAAATACCATAACAAAACCCATTTGAACTACGAGCATACACTTAAACAATGCAGGACAGGGATGTAAGACAGATCCTACTACAGAGAAAGTACTAGCAGGAATTGAGGAGCTAATGAAGGATAAAGGAGGATGAATATGATTGATATACCTTATATAGTGTATGAAGACAGAACATTGAAACCTCTCAAAATCATCTTAAGTTGTGGGAGGGGGATGAGAAAGGATATAGTGGATGAACCTAACTAAGGTACATTGTAAGCATATATGAAAATGTCACAATTAAACCCCCGTACAACTAACATATGCACTAAAAAATACTTTAAAAATAATTTTTTTTATTTCTGAGAAAATGTCTTTGAAAGTTTGTGAGGAATTAAATGGGTATGTTGTTCTGGGTAGCATAAACATTTAGCAATGTTAATTCTTAATCCAAAACTGCAGGCTATCTTTCCATTTCTTTTTGTCTTTTCCAATTTCTTTCACTAGAATTTTGTAGGTTCAGTATGTAGATTTTTCACTTCTTCCCTTATATTGATTCCTAAGTTTTTTATTTTATTTGTTTTATTTGGCAGTACTGGGGATTGAACTAAAGGCCTTGCACTTGTTAGGCAAGCAGTTCACTACATTTTTGCTTTTAGGTTATTTTCAATAGTGTCTACTGTTTTTACCAACACCCACCTTTGACCACAATGCTCCTACCTGTGCCTCATGTATAGCTCAGATCAGTCGTGTGTTGTTATTGCCTGGCTTATTTGTTGAAATGAGTGTGGTCTCACTGTTTGCTCAGGCTGTCCTTGAAGTTTGATCCATGCTACCTCCTCCTTTCAAAGAGCTGTAATTCCAAGTCCTGGCCACTGCTCCTAGCATTATTTTATTTTTTGGCACTATTGTAAGTAAAATTATTTTCTTCATTTACTTTTCATATACATTGTTATTTCTGAACAGAAATGTGACTGATTTTGTAAACCCTTAACACTACATACTAATAATTCATTTATTAGTACAATAGCATTTACTGCTTATTTTCTTGAAATAGAATGAAATTTGATATTTTTAACTTGATACATAGTAAGCACTCAGTAAACATTCTGAAGTCTACAAATTATGTAGACTTCTTAACATCAATTTTTTGTAAAATTTTTATTAGGATATACTCGTTACATAGGGGGGATTCATAGTGCCAATTCTGATTAGACTTATATTGTACATTGGTTACATCACCCCATCTTCTCTCCCCCTCAATCCTCTCCCCACCCTACTTAAAGGAATTGCAAGAGGTTTCTTTGTTCTACTTCATATTATTTATGAAGTACATTAGCCATATACCCTCATCTTAATCTCCTTCATTCACCCTCGCCCACTCACTAGTACTCCACACACACACACACACACACTGTACCCATTTTACACACCTATCTTTCATTACTAACATTTAAGTTGATGTTCAAAGGGGTTTCACTGTATATCCCTGCTGTGGGTATACTTTATTTTGATCAGAACAACCTCTTGCATTACTTTCCCTGACAACTTTACCTCCCATCCCCCACCTCAGTTTTCAATAGCTTTCAACACACATCCTTATATCCTCTACCTTCACAGATGTTATGTTTCATGACATTACTTATGCTCTATCATTCTTTTCCTTTCCCTCTTTGCCCAACTTCCATAGAGTAATAACACAATTACTAACATGTTCAACATATCAATTTGTATATGTTTGTTTCTGTATGTATGTATATCTTTTGGATCTATATTCCACATATGAGAGAAAACATGCAACTTTCATCTGTGTCTGGATTATTTCACTTAACATAAAGTCCTCCAATTGCAACCATTTACCTTCAAAGCACATGTCATTATTCTTTATGGCTGAGGAGAACTCCACTGTGTATATATAATTAATGTCAATATTTTAAAATATTTCTCACTGGTATGAGAAACTGCTATTTAAGAAAGAGTGTAATACTTGACTTTGCTGAGATATTCTCTGCAACTAAATTTCATTCTCCCAAGTATTTTAGATGGGGAGAAGAAATAATACTAGATGACTGGAGTTTATCCCATTACACTGACATGGCCATGTTAACTGCAAGCTACCTAAAGAACTCAAGTGATAGTAGACATAAGACCAGAAATACCCATCACAAATTAGACTCAAATTAGAGAAAATTGACAACTTATGGGGAAATCTAATGGGGAATTCTGTCCCATATTTCTACAGTGATTGAGTTAAAGAATTCAAGGATTGCCTTTGAAAAAAAGAGTATGACAGAAATGAAGGGAAAAGAGCAGATTAGGAGGGAGGAAAGCATTTTGTGTGAAACTGACTAGAAAGGCTCACCTGGAAAACAGGGTGTGTAGAATAAAGAACCATGATGGAAATAACAACTTCTGTATCCAAGGTTTGGAATTGGGGACAAAGGTTTAATAATGGAGATGATAGAGTTGGGAGGTGTTTAAAGGTTATAAAAACAAGGAAAGAAGGGGAATAAGGAGTCAAAATGGAATTGCTCTTGATTCAAGGAGGTTTAGTAAAGAGGAATTGTTCTGTCAACATGTGAAAAGCAATAGATCTTTCTATAAAGGGTAAAGATTAATTTTCTTGGCTCAGTCATGCAATATATCCACAAGAATTATTCAAGTTCCAGTAACTCAAAAACTCCTAACAATCTCTTGGATAGCCTTACATTTTTCTTCAATAACCTCCCATGCAAAGGGATCTAGATAAAAGACAGTTCAGGAATTTTCTCCTGAACCCTGTAAGCTCTCCAAGAACTACATCAATAAATGCAACTTCCTAGAAAGACAGGACGGATGTGAGATCAGCGTTATGTGAGGAGGAAGCAGCTGGTGCTGAAAAGGATCACTGACCCACAGCATAGGAAAGAGGTAGTTGACTAAGTCTGAAGCACTGTGGGTGGAAAGCTATAATACTGCTGACAGTAGTAATCTGCCATATCTTCAGCCTGGAGGCTGCTGATGGTGAGAGTGAAATCTGTCCCAGACCCACTGCCACTGAAGCGGTCAGGGACCCCAGATGCCCGAGTGGATGCCCAGTAGATGAGACGTTTAGGAGGCTGTCCTGGTTTCTGCTGGTACCAGGCCAGGTAGTTCTTCTGGTTTGAGCTGGATAAAAGACTCTGGCTGGACTTACAATTGATGGTGATTCTCTCTCCTACAGACGCAGCCAGGGAGGCTGGAGACTGAGTCACCGTGATGTCCCCACAGACACCTGCAATCAGGAGAGGACAATAAACAAACATACACACACACAGACTTTATAATACAAACATTGAATATGTCATTTAAAATGCACTTTCTAATGGTTGGGCTCATATTGGAAATAGTCATTACTTCCTACTGCATCTTAAAAACCATTTTGTCAGCTCAACAACAGATTACTCTGAAGGAACTGTAGCATTTAAGTTTCTCACCAGAGACCCATAGCAACAAGGTGATGAGGACTCGGGTTTGCAACACCATCTTGTTGTCCCTGCCTGCTTAATGCGGCTCTGTTCTTATTGCAAAGGTGTCATTCATAAAATTGGAGCAGCTGGACTGGGCTGGAGGGGTTATGCAAAGCGATCAGAATATACAAAAACAAATTGTGCAGGCAGTGGACTATAAAAGTATCTGATTTAGGATACCAAGAATATCAACACAGAAAGCATAATTGTGTGACCAGAAAACACACAGGAGTTAGAGTTCTAAGATTAACTTAGACTCTCTAAAACCTCAAACTGCTAGTGAATTAATGAAGAGTTCCTATTTTAAACAAAAAATACTTGGAAGTGGATAGACTGAATATTGAGACCTGGCCTTTAAAAAAGAACTCATGGCAAAAGTCCCTGAGGTCAAAACAGAGTACCATCAAAAAAAAAAAGAAGAAGAAATGTTGTTTCTTATTCTGAAAATCCTCCAGGATTATCACCATCCCAAAATGTACAATAGGAAGAGAGAAAGTGAGGAGTTTCATTATAGGGACACTTTGTACCTATTGTATTATTCAGAAGTTTTGAGACAGCTTACCAAATAAATAGAAAGTAAAAGTTGTATTTTAACTTACTTTTATAATCATATCCAGGTCCTCTGTGTCTCCCAGTTCAGGGTTCTTGACACACTGATGGCTGGGCTGAAAGACAGTCAGATTCTCATTATATTTTAAAAGAATATCAAGTAAACATTACTGACATATTGGATGCAAAGTGTGAGTGAAATAGAATGTCAGAGAACGACTGCTCATGTGTTTAGGACTGAGTAACCAGAGAATTTGAAACAATGTCTTCTGAGAAGGGAAATGCCCAGGGAAAGCAAACTTGGAAGGCAGGTGGGAATTAGGACTTCAGGAGAAACACACTAGAATTGTGAGATGCTGTAAACCTCCACCTGGCAATGCTGCTAAGGTGGATGTTTATGTGAGATTCTGAAGTTCAGAGAAGCAGTCTGAACTGGAAAAACAAATCTGGGACATGAGGTAAGATCATGAGGCGATGAGTATAAGCAGGTGAAAGCAAACTGATAACTGGTAGATAGCCCAATAAGCAGAAGTCAAACAGATGAAGAGAAATAACAATGGACTCCTAGAAGCAGTAGCTACCGAGGTAATAAATGACCTAACAGTGATATCTCAGAATGAAGGCAGTGTACTCAAAATGCCTTTTCAGTTTAAAAATATGTAATTAATTTTTTTTTTTCTTTTCTGGCACCGGGATTTGAAATCAAGGCCTTTGGTTTGCTAGGCAGGTGCTCTACCACTTGAGCCCTTCCTCCAGCCACTAAAATATAAAATTTAAAGAGCTAAATGAAGACAAATTTTTCCTTTTTGGTTAATTAGTTAAATGGTCCACACACTTTCATTTGTAGGATCACAAGTCTCTGGGCAAGTGGAAGAATTGGAAGGTTACTTTGAAAAACAGGTGGGCACTTACTGCCCTCTGCTGGCCTGCACTAAACACTCCAGGGAAGATGGTTCATCACCTTTTCTCTTGCAAAGCATCTTTAATGTTTTGCCTACTAGCCAGTGCTCTAGTGCAATAACTGGCACAGACTTATTTCAGTATCTCAGTATGAAAGCAATGACGAAGCTGATGCTTCATCTGTCACCTTATTTTTATTCTACACATAGGGTACAAGGTCACAGAAAATTTGTGTGCAAGCTCATTTGCTTAGTTCACCAAACTTATTTCTACTGCTCTTCCCATCATTTGACTCCACCTTCCCACCCAACAACTCCCATCTATAGGCAAGTACAGCACACAACCTGTTCTGCATGTTATAACAACTCTACTCTCTGGTACACTAACTCAATTGTCTGTTCCTCCACAGGACATTCCTGTCTTCACATTTTAGATGAATCCTCACAGGCACAGTAACTCTCCAGGATATCATCTGCTCTTTGGTCCTCTCATTCTTACATGTCTCCAAGTTCTAGGTGCTCAATCACGTTGTTAGAAGTGTTCTGCTGAAGCACAGAGTTCTGTTTCTATGTACATACATTCTCATCAGTGCTGACTTCACAGTTTACCTTTCTATTCCCCGACATTCATCACTCTCTGGCTCAAATGTAGCCAGTGGAGTTCATGTCTGAGAGGAGATATTGGACATGTAAAGGTCAAGGGAGAGCCCTGTAAAAATGCACAATTGGCTTCACTGCTGAAGTCAATGAAGGAAGCCATATTGGAGGCAGGCATAAGCCTGATGCTAGGAGACCTTGGAGATCTGCTAGCACATTTGATCTTTCTTCTAAGAGCAGGCAATAAGAGCATGTGGTGAATTAGTAAGAATTAGTTCATGTTTTTACTGAGACAGTTTTAGTGCATGTTTTGCCTGATATGCATGGAAGGAAAAAGTATGGAGTCCATCATAATTTCTGGGCCAGCTGAACTGTAGTGCTTTCATCCTCTGAAATCACTTAATGATAACCAAAATTAAAGCCTGTGAACAATAGCAGTTCCAAATAACCATACAGGACCAAATCATTACTTGGTAAACTAAAAATAATGATATTATATACACAGAATTCTAATTTTGCTAGGCCATCAGTGTTTACCTGGAATCAATATACCTTCTCCCAGGTATTCAGTCAAACAAAAATTCAGTTTCTTAGTAGTGATTTTTCAGATGTAATGAAATACAGTGACTTTAAGAAGGGGAAATTTTCTGAGTAAAACCAATCAAGTAACAGAACACTTAAAAATCTGGATCTATAGTAAAAGAAAGGAAATTTGGAAAGATTCAGGACATGAAAAGGATTAGGTGAGGGGAGATTCTCTAATGCTGATGTTGGAGACAAAGGGAGGCCTGTTTGAGGGAATGAGGACACCTTCAGGACCTGCGAGCTGACAGCCAGAAAAGAAATGGGTCCTCAGCCTACAACTTCAAAAAACCAATTCTGCCACAGAACTTGAGATGGAAGAAGACCCTGAGCTTCACATTAAGTTCTGCCACCCTACTCTTCAATTTTAACTTTGAGAGTCAAAAGGAAACCATCCATCCAAATTCCTAGATTTCTGAAATATGTCCCTCTGATGGACATTTGTTCCTCAGCAATAAAAAACTAGCAGAGATATCACTGTGATATCTCCAGAGAAACAGAACTCTAAATAGAAGTTATCTCCCTAGTCCCCTTTGGAAACAACACAAGAATCCCCCTGGATAGCTATCTTAATCTCAAACTAGGAAAAAAGCCATGTTTCCCTTATTATCTTTTATGTTTTTTCTTCTGCAAAACCTGAGAACAAGAGGGCAGAACAGTTTCTTCCCAGGTGCAGGGGGCGTTGGCACTGGTAGGTGGGGGGAGGTGGTGGGGAAAAGGGTAGAAAGACGAATATGGTGTGAATAATGTATATACCATGTATGTAAATGCAAAAGTGATACCTGTTAAAATAAAGCAAAAAGGTTAAATTTTAAAAAATAAGAAGTAAACTCCCACTTAGCTCATGGCCAAGATGATGCTGAAATCTCTGGCTTGAGCTGCAATGTGGTAAAGCACTGTCCTTTTTCTACCACATATATTTTCCTCACTTGTGTACATACCCACAAAATCAACACTGAATTTTGTTCTACACACACACACACACACACACACGCACACACTCACATATATACAGGTGTGGTGGCCCGTGTCTCTAACACCAGCTACTTTAGAGCAGAGATTGGATCATGGTTCAAGATCAGACTGGGAAAAAGTGACCCCCTGCTTCAAAGACCTAGTGGGAAATGTGCCTCATGTCTGTAACACCAGCTCTCCAAGAGGTCAGAGGCTTCCCTGGAACACAATGTACCTGTTATCTCTCCTACATAGCTGGGATGCCAGGCATCTGCCACCCAGACTGGCCCCAAAAGATTGACTTTGAAGTCTTTCCTTTCTGTCTTCATGGTTCCATGACACTGAAAGGACTGAAGACAAGGTGCTCTGTAAGGGACAGGAGAGAGCTGACAATGCCCCTAACAGACCTGAAACTAAGCTGGCCCCACATGTTCCAGATGCCCAATGCATGTTCCCTTTAATATGCAGCTTTATTAAACATTTCAAATTCATATTGTATTCTAAGGAATAGTGCAGGGGAAGGTCACGTGTTTAAATTAAATATGGACTCTTTCTATTATTGAAATGTTGCATGCATTCTAAGTATATGTAAACTTCTGGGTGTCATCTCACTAGACATTTACTTGATGTTATAGTATGAATACGGAATTTTACAAAGGACGTCTGTGTTGAAGTTTTGGTCCACAGTGGATAAATCCAATCACTGAGACCTGATTGGATTAAGAGAGCTCTAACTGAGTCACCACATTCATCCACTGATGGATTCATAATTTGATCGAATTTTGAGAAGGTTGTAGAAGTCAGGGGGATATTGGTTGGGGGAGGTGCATTCCTACAAGGGATCTTTGAGGGGTTGAACCATCTCTGGCAGCTTCCTGTCTTTCTCTCTCTGCTTTCCAGCAGCCATGAGCTGAGCTGCTCTCCTCTGCCACACTCTTCCACCATGATGCCTCTGTCTTGCCACAGACCTAAAAGCAATGGAACAAGATAACCACGGAGTGAAACCTCTGAAACTGTGAGCCAAACAAATCTTTCCTCCTTTAAGTTATTAGCCTCAGGTGCTTGCCACAGTAAAGAAAACCCTGACAAACACAGTTGGCACAGCTCAACCACCACAAGTTTTATCCTGGGAAATGACTGACACATATATGCATATGGGCACTTCTGCACATCGGCAGATACCGGCCATCAAGTAAGTCACGAAAGTTCAATTCATATGCAGACAGCGTGAAGTGCTACAGAGTTCTTAAACAATTAATATGTGGTCTGTTAGATGCTTGTTCTTATTGTAACTCTGTGACCCAAAGTTGGTGATAAATCAACTATTTTAAATGAATCCATGAATGAAATAAGTTAGCACATTAATCATGGGACACAAAGCATTCCCCAAATATTGAATTCTTTAAATTAATATGAGATATAGACACTGGAAGATAGTCTGTTGAA